TGCATATGAGGACCGCGCGCTTCCGCTTGTAGGGTATCTCTCGCTTGGTCCAGATCCTGCCGCGCTCGTAGTAGCTCTTCTTTATGGCCTGGATGCGCTTCTGCAACTCTGGGTAGTAGCTCTGCGTCGATGTTACTTGAGGGCCCAGATGTTTGTCTGTGGCGTGTGGATTGCCCTTCGGCTCTGTCTCTTCCTGGGACCTGGGTGGGTCAACCGCCCCTGGCAGGTCCCTGGGTTCGAGCTCGTCCGTGCAAAACGGGGGGGGCGACGATTCGGCCGCAGGCGTGCGATTAGCCTCTCGGTGTACTTCGTGAGCCTCTCGCGGTAGTCCGTCGGTTTCGGCGCCTGGCAGTAGTACTTCTGCGCTGTCTCTACTGGGATGGTGTTGTTGTCCGTGACGGGCCTCGCGTTCTTCTCTCCGATACGGCGGTCGGCGTAGGTGCGAGTCTTCTGTCCCGCACCGTCTGGTAGTCGTTCGGGCGATCCGCCTTCTTCGAGCGCTGGTTCTGCTGCTCTGCGTCGTAAGTCCTGCGCGTCGTCGTTGTACTTCTGGCCCGCCTGTAAGCCCGCCTGCGCAATGCCGCTCTGCGCGTTGATCTCCCACGTCTGGATGACGGCCGACGCCAGCTCGGCCTGCTCGCGCGCCAGCGTGAGGGTGAGGCGTGCCTTGAGGTCTGATTATGGTCGTCCTCCTTTCTGTGTGATGCCGTTGCCATCGTTGAGGTCGCCCTCGACGATGCTTCTGTCTGCTGGTTTCTTCTATCCAGTTGAATCCTTTGCTCGTCTTAGCGTAGTACTGTGGCGGTCTGTAGTATCCTATGATCAGCAGCGTCTGGTCGTGATTCAGGGTGTTCGCGAGCCCTCTTCCACTGAGCTGCGGTTCCTGGATGTCGATGACGGTGCCCGTGCTGCGGTTGATCTCTTTCTTCCCTTGGTTGCCCGCCCGTGTCGTAATATCTTGTGTTGCCGCGGCGGTGTTGCGTATGTCGTCTGCGTGATGTCCCCTCGATGATGCCGAAATTGTTGTTCTCCCCGCATCTCACCGCGAGCCTGTCGGGCTTAGCCGAAATCTGGCAGAAGAGGAGCACAGCGAGAGAGGCTGAGTGTGCTGCCATCATGCGGGCCGCCGCCCCTTCTGTCTGCTCGGTCCGAGGAATCGCATGGTGGCGGTCTGGGCTGCCCTGACAATATCTTAGGCCCAGATGGCAGCTGAGGAGGAGGAGGAGGAGGAGGAGGAGCAGCGGCAGGAGAGCGACGACGAGACCACGAAGAGGCAGCAGGAAGGCGTTGAGGAAGCCCAGAGGAGGCGGCCAGGACGACGGCCAAGAGGCAACGCAAGACGAGCGTCGAGGAGAAGGAGGGGGCGCCACGACCATGCACATTTGCGCCAACGACAGCCGCTGCCGCAAGGGCGTCACCACAGACCTGAACTTGAGCTTTATTGACGTCGGCAAGGTTGGCCGGACCATCCAGGTAGACTCCACGGTTTTGAAGATCGGCGGCGTCCTGGGCGTGGCCGAGGCGAGGGTGAAGGACGTTAGCACCGACAAGGTGATCGCCGTCGAACGGCACACTTGGATGTTTGTCGGCGAAACCAACTCTGCCACGACCTTCAGCCAGTCCCTGAACTCGGTCTTCGACGTGTGAGGCGAGCGGCCGCGGCCGGAGCGAGCGGCCGCCGCCGGAGCGGAGCTTCTCAGACGGCCAGCCCTGCGTGCCTTTCGGCCTTGGGCCTTTTTGCTGTCGGCTCGCCTCGCGTAGTCTTGCCGGCGGCCAGGTACCATGGCTCTCTGTGGGAGCCTGGGAACCCTGGAGCTTTCTCGGGGCCATCTGGGGGGTCTCTTGGGTACATGTGGTAGGCCGTGGGGGCCATCTTGGGGCAATCTTGGGTGGTGACATTCGTCGACGCCGCCGCCCTCGTCGTCGTGCTGGCACGCGTGGAAGAAAACCGTGCGCCGAGGGGAACGGGTCCCGGATCCCTGGTCCCAGGGGCCAGCTCGTACAGCCGGACTGGATTTGGCAGGGCACCCGAGAGGACACAAGACTTTTCCGGCGGCGACGTGGCCCCAGAGCACCAGAGGGCATACGGGCTGCATAGGTCAGGATCGACAGGACACAAGGGTACCCTTGATTTGGCATGGTCGACCTACGAATCAGGGCGGACTGCAGGGAGAAGGGAACCCACCACAACCACCACCACCTAGAGGGGTGGTGGTGTACATCGTCTCGGGCGCTCTCGCGGGACATCGTGCACACCCGCATCCCGGACACCAACTCATCCTGAATCCCCCCCGGTGGTGGTGGTGGTGGTGGTGGTGGTGGTGGTGGTGGTGGTGGTGGTGGTGGTGGTGGTGGTGGTGGTGGTGGTGGGTGGTGGTGTGTGGTGGTGGTGGTGGTGGTGGTGGTGGTAGTGGTGGTGGTGGTGGCGGCGGCGGCGGCGGCGGCGGCGGCGGCGGTGGCGGTGGAGGTGGAGGTGGAGGTGGTGGTGGTGGTGGTGGTGGTGGTGGTGTGGTGGTGGTGGTGGTGGTGGTGGTGGTGGTGGTGGTGGTGGTGGTGGTGGTGGTGGTGGTGGTGGTGGTGGTGGTGGTGGTGGTGGTGGTGGTGGTGGTGGTGGTGGTGGTGGTGGTGGTGGTGGTGGTGGTGGTGGTGGTGGTGGTGGTGGTGGTGGTGGTGGTGGTGGTGGTGGTGGTGGTGGTGGTGGTGGTGGTGGTGGTGATGGTGGTGGGTGGTGGTGGTCGTGCGCTTCCTGCTCCCAAGAGGATGCCAGAGGCCAATCTCACTGATGGTTTGAATCATGGTTTTGTAGCCGTTTGGCAATTTCTGGCTCCCTACGCTCCGAGGCGGCCCAGGAGGCTCCCACGATCGCCTCAAGACGGTCCAAAGGCCCCCCAATTGCCTCCCAACCGTCCACAAAGGGCTCGGGATGAGAAAGCGGCCCGGGGGAAGGGTCTGGACCTCTGGGGGTCCACGCTTTGATAAAATAACGACGTCGGGGGTCTGGGCATGCCTCTGGAGGCCTCTTGGGACCTCTGGGGCTGTGAGTGGCCCCCGTCTTCTGGCAGAACTCCTGTTGGCTTCGTAGGTTCAGCCTCCTCAGGGCCCTCGAAAGGAGCTTTTGAAGGTATCGCAGCGCCGATTGCCACGAGTCGCGGCAGCCGGTGCTTGAGCTGGAAAGGAGACGACCTCCTGGGACCTGGGCCGAGGCCCTGCCTGGGTCCTGCCGGGACGGCGTCTGCACCAACACCTGGGCCCCGGGGCAGGCCCGGGACAGGCCCGGAGCGTGCGCACAATCCGCGGGCTGGGAACGGCGGCGGGGGACTGGCTCAGGGGAGGCGCATCGAGCTGGAAGCGGCGATACCTCCTCGACACATCGGAGACGGGCCCCCGACAGCGAGTCCGCACGCTCCTGGGAGGGGTCTCCTCCCCTCGGGGCCCACATCGGCGAGGGATGGGCGACTGGGGATTAGATGCGTCTCCTCCCTCTCCCTCCCCACGCGCTCCCCCTGATCGCCCATCCTGGCCGAGGCCAGGCCTGGGCCCGGGATCGTGGCGGTGCCCTCCTGCCTTGGCCGGGAGGGCATCTGCACCCAGACCCAGGCCCAGGGCAGGCCCGGCCACGGCTGGAGCTTGCGCACAGTCGGCGTCGCCTCCGGAGTTAAGCCTGGCCAGAGCCTGAGGTGAGATCCTGCAAGGAGAGCAGGTAGGCCGAGGCCTTCGACGGTGAGCTGGGGCAGAGCAGGGCCATCAGTTTCCTTCCTTCGTGCGCGCGCACGTCCTGTGTAAAGGCCCTCCTCCGCCCTCGCGCGACCGCCTACGAGGGGGGAACATTAGAGGGGGACTGGCTCAGGGGGGAGGGTAGCATCGACCTGGAATCGGCGATACATCGACGCTAGATCGGCGATAGGCCCACGATAGTAAAGCAGCACGCTCCTGGGCGGAGTGGGCTATTGGGGCCCGGGCGATAAGTGGGAAATTGGGAGCCGATGCATCCCCACCTGGGCCTATCCCCCATAACGTTGCCCCTGAGCGTGTCTCCCACACGACGAGAGACGCTACCGAGGTCACGGGAATGGAATCAGCAAGGAGCACGTTTGGGAACGTGGAGGGCACGGCTGTGTCTAGCGCACGCACGTACAAGGCCAAGCATCCATAGGGACGCGTAGGCAGAAAAGAGGTGCATAGTTGCAACTCTACGAGCAGGGTGGCTGGGAAAACGCACGTGGAGTGTACAATGGCGTGGAAAAACGAAGGAGAGGGAAAATGATGGCCGATCCCACATTTCCGGTCAGACAATCAACGTACAGCTCTCTGGAAAAGAAGCAAAAGTAAGCCGGAACCTCCCTGGATCGTCCAGGGGCGCCTCCAAACCAAGCTTCGGGAGGGAGAGGGAGGACCTGGCCGTGACGAGAACCCTTCGGAAGGCCCCAAAAAGTGAAAACGGTGAAGGCGGAGGAGGGGGGTATATTGGCGGTGCGCAAGGGGGGTGGATGGAGGGGGGAGGGCTTCTCACAACGAGGCTGCACCTTGGACGGCGTCGGCCTTACATCTATAGAATAGGTCCGCGCCTTCTAAGAAGCAGGGGTGCTTCTAAGAAGCCCTCCCCCCTCCCCCCACCCCCTCTGCGCGTGGCTGAGTATAGCTATAAGCATCCCAAACTGGGTCCGAGTAGATGGGGTCGGAGGATCGCGCCGCATCGACGGTACATCGGCGACGCATCGAAGATCCCTCGGTCATGCGTCGTTGACGCCGGCGATACATCGGCGAGGCGGGCCAAATCGGGCTCCACATCGAGCCGCGTCGCCGATGCCTCGGCGATGCGGCGAGACTCCCCGACCCCATCCGAGCACGGCACCATCTGGAGAGGCCAGGAGGGCAGCGGCACTCTGTGCCCCCGCCCTCTGCACGCCCCATTGGGAGCCCCCCGGGGGCAGCTGCCAACGCGCTGCGCCCGCGCGCCGCGGGTGCCCCGCCCCGGCCCCCACGGGCGGCGGGCCGTGGGCCTCCAGCTGCCGGTTGCCCCGCTGCAGCCTCGCGACCTTTGGGGGAGGCCCAAGAGGTACCGAGCGCGAGGCCCATGCGGTGGCGGCGGAGGCCTCCCATGGAGGCCCAGAAAGGCAAGAACGAGGCAAAGGGCAGCAACATCGGCAGGATAGCCCAGGATCGAATCGACAAGTCGGATGGGCGAATGAAATGAATCGGATCGGCGGATATCGGCTGACAAGTTGGAAGAAGTCGAACCGGCGGACATCGGCAGGCTAGTAAGGCCTCCGTTGAGAAATCGGATTCCGCATCGGAATCTGAAACCGAATCGACTCGGAATCGGAAGCCATCGAAATCGAATCGCATCGGGGGAGTCGAAAGGAGCCCTGCACCGGCACCTCTTTCCCTCCACTGAGAACCTTTGAAGGGGCCCAGGGACACACAAATAAATACACACAAATACCAATCTTCCACGTATTTTTTAACATATGTTCTGGATGTCCGTCTTCCCCCCCAGTTCCCATATTTTCCAATCTTTTCCTGGGGATCGACGACTAATCGTGCCTGTGTGCTTCTCCCCCTCCTGAACCTTCTGCGCCGCGGGGGCGAACGTGGCCGCCATTGGCCCCCGCCGCGCCGAGCCCGGGCCGCGAAGGGCGCCGCGCCCGTGCACGGCGCCGGGCCGCCACGGGCCGCGAAGGGCGGCGCGCTGCCGAGAGGAGCGGGGCGGCGCGGCGTGCCCCACGGGCGCGCACCTTCCCGTCGGCGGCGAGGCGGGGCAATCCGCGCCCGTCGGGGAGAACTCGAGTGCCGGGGACTCGGGCTGGCCCGACGGGGCCATCGTAGAAATGGCGAGACCCGAACTGAAATTTGACGCGAGCCCCCGCTGCAAACGTCCCACGCAAACCAAACCGTCAAGATCCAGGAGGCGCCCGTCAAGAAAAAGTCGGCAAACCCGAGGTCCCGCTTACTCGAATCCTACGCACGCTTCCCCGATCCAGCGTGGCAGTGATGCGGGGGCACTACAAAGCGAATTGGCCGGCATGCAGGAGGGGGGAGGCCAGGAAGGGCGGGCGGGGCGGCCGCGGGGGGGAGGGGAGGGCGAGCACTCCGAGGCGGAAGAGTCGCACAGGCACACGCGGGCAGTGCTGATGCGATGCGTCCGTGCCTGGAGGGCCCGCGCTGGCGGACGACAGCGGGAAAACCACCGGCAGAAGAGCCCTGGGCGCCTCGACAAGAACTCCTGGGGGACACCAACCCTTGCTTCGACCAGTCGGCGGGTATGGCGACAGTGTCTGACAGGATGCCCCTCAGGTTACCGTGAAGGCGTGCGCGCGTCCAACCCGAACATCTAGCACAACCATCGTTTCCCGAACGGTGCGGCCAGAAAACGCCAGCCACCTGGCATGCACCGTGAGATTCCACGGCGCGCACGTCGCCCCCTTGTGACAACCTTCCAGACCACCCCAACCCAACCCGAATACCCGAATCTGACCCGAATCTCGGGTGGGGGGGATGGTTACGCGTTCCGTGTGCTTTCTCCATGCTTCCCGACCCCCACCCCCCACTGGAAACGAAGGGCAAGTTTCGGGTTGGGTTGGGGTGGTTTGGTGGGTGGTGACTTTGGGGCCCACGCGCACATCGTAGCATTGAGTCGGGCCTGTCCCCCTACAGGCCGATTTTGAACGACAAATAAAGAAAAGTCAAAACATATACCCTAAAATATTCAAAAAGGGTTGAAAAATCGTCCCAGGACTATCTTTTAAAATATTTTTGAATGTTCCCCCTGTAGAAGGACAGGCCCGACCTACTCGTAGCAGGATGCTGGGGTGACGCCGGCCCGAGGGCGCGACGGACAGCGCGCTGCGCAGCTCGAGGCTCACGGGCGTGGCGGCCGGAGGCTGGGGCGCCGCGCCGCGCACGCCGAGGCCGCCCAGGCTTCGGGCGGCAGCGGCGCCACGGCAGACCTGGTTTAGTGATTCTGGCAAATTTACTGGCTCTGGGGCCCTACTACTAATCGGGTCCCCTGACCTGGGGCTCTGGCTGTTGAGCCTGTTTTCCACCACCGCCACCATAAGTTGGAGGGGGGAAGGAGGTGGAGGAGGAGGAGGAGGAGGAGGAGGAGGAGGAGGAGGAAGAGGGGGAGGGGGAGGAGGACCCCCTCCCCCCTCAAGCTTATGGTGGTGGTGGTGGAAAACAGGCCCAACAAGCTGGCTACACCCGAACCCCTCCCGCCGTGACTTGTTCCGCGGCGCCCCGCGGGCCCCGTGGTCGGGCCGGGCACGCCCCGCAGCACCCGCCTCCGCCGCCCGCGCCGGGCCCCGATCGGGGGGAGCGCCGCGCTGGCCCGAGAGACGCGCCGCTCCGCGCCCGCGCCTCGGCGGCGACGACAGGGGCGAATAGCCCAGAGGCCAGCACTACACGCAGTCGTCCGGGAGCCTTTTCGAAGGCAGAGGTCCTCGGCGCGCCTGAACAGCTGTATTGCTCTCCCCTGGGCTGTTCGCCCCTATCGCCGCCTCTGAGCCCGCCTCCCGTGGCAGGGCTCACTCGGACTCGTCCGGCGTGTGCCCGAAGTGCAGCATGTGGGCGTCCTTTCGGCGGGGGGCAAACCTCCCTTCAGCAAACAACCCTTCTGTGAAAACGGCCCAAGACCGAAGCTGGCGGACCTGGACCCGCAAAAGGGACGGCCGCCACGCCCTCTCGCGAACCGAGAACGGCCAATTCGCTAATCGACGTGCCAGGGTGGGAGGTCTGTCACCCTCCGATCCTTTCGGGGGGTCCCTGTGCGTTGCCGTGGCGGGCCGTGCGGTGGCCACGCCGCACGGTCCGTCACCACGCACGGTCCTATAGGGCCTCGGAGAGGCCCCCGGTCGCCCAGGTCATCCTCGGAGAACGGCCCGAGCCCCAAAAACTGGGCGGCCCCTCGACTCCCCACACGGCGTGGTCACCGCACCGCACCGCTTGGGAGCCTCCGGGTCCTTCGGCGCTCCTCCTGTGCGAGCGACGGGGGTGGGGAAGGGATGGGCACGAGAATCGGCAGCGCTCCCTGCCCGCAATGAGGAGGACTCGCTGTCTGTGTCGCTGCGAGCGTCGCCCGTGTGAGACCAACGGTCACCTGCCCAGCAGCTGGCGCTGTTGGCTTTGGACAACACTTGCTGCTGTTTGGCCTCGTGCCAGTCCTTCCCGTACCCATTTCGGGCGTGCCAATCCTTCGGGACAGAGTCGAGCGCGGCCATCTCGCCCGGGGACAGCTCGAAGTCGAAGAGCCTCTCGGATGAGCTCAGATGGGAAAACAGCATGGAGCTGAAGTCGGCGATACACTGCCGATAGATCGGCGACAGGCCCCCGATAGCGAAACCGTACGTTCCTGGGGGCGGGGTGGGCTATAAGGCCCGCATCTGCGAATGGGCGTTGGGGGGTCGATGCATGCCCCCCCTGATAGCCAGTCCACCCCTAAAGTTGCCCCTTGCGCTTTACCCTAAAAGATAAGCGATCCTCAAGTTCTCTGCCATGTGCTTCGGGTTGGAGGTGCCAGGGATCACGCTCACATTCTTCTGGATCGCCCACCGCAGGAGCACCTGGCGTCTCGTGCCATCTTTGGTTGTACGCACCCTGGCCTGGCTTTCCTCCTCCAAGAGCTTTTTTCTGACGCGACAAACAGAAGACATCCTCCTCTCCATTCCACCCTCACCCTCACCCTCGCTCTATCCCTCTCTGCCTCCTCTGTGCCGCCTTCCCTCTCTGCTTACCTCCATCCTACCCTCCCACCTTCCTCCCTTGCTTCCCTTCTCAACTTTCTCTCTCACTCCCCCCCCCTACTCGTACCCACCACGATGTCTGCAATGAGTCAAGTATTGGACACACTTGTTATTCTGGCCAACGAGACTTATCGCTCTGCAGAACTCAAGAAACACTGTATGGCATGCTTTCGAGATTACCGCTGCAGGTGATCTCTGAGAGCGGGCGGGCTTGGAGGGTGTAGAAGGGCGCAGCGGCCGCTCTGCGAGTGCTCCAGAAAACTCGAGAGTCCCGGAGGTCTCTGGAGCGACTCGTCTCCCCAGGCCTGCCCGAATAGGGATGGAAGGAAGGAGACAGGTGCCTTCACCCTCCTCCTCCTCCCCCGCCGCCTCCTCCTCCTCCGCAAGTGGGACGGAGCCCCTACAAGTTAACAGTACAAGACTGTGCTAAAACAGCCCGAGTACAGCTTCTGCGGGCCCCAGTTCTGGGCCAACAGCCCAGGGACATCGTTGGCAGGCCCCTCGCTTTCGGCTGCCGTAGACGCGATTCCGAAGACAGGCAAGGCCTGCTCGAAGAGGGGCAGAGGGAGACTGGTGCCTCCCCCTCCTCCTCCTCCTCCTCCGCAGATGGGATGGAGAGCCGCGGTGCAAGAGCGGTCGGCGGGGCCAGGCCTGGCCAGCCGTCTTGCCGTGGCGGCCCCCGATATCCTTGAGGGCGTCCTGCATGAGCAGCTGACTGGCCAGGCCGTTGCTACCCATGGAGCCGTAGGCGGTCACGGCGATGCCGTGCTCGTGGCACCACTGCACCTCGGCGCCCCACGAGGCCTGCTCAGCGTGCGTGCGCCACTGCAGCACGAAAACTAGATTACGCAAGGGAACACCCAATCAGTGGATGGCTTGAACAATTCGTGATGTGGATATTGAGATCGATTGTGAGATCGATAGTCGATAGTGAGACCGATGGTGGGATCGATGGTAAGGACGATGGTAAGGTCGATCGTGAGACTGATCGTGAAGTCGATCCAATGAGATTGATAGTGGGATCGACCGTGCGATCTACAATGGGATCGATTGTGAGACCAATAGGGAAGTGGGTAGTGAGATCGATGGTGAGACCGATCGATACCGAGATCGACCAAAAACCTGGGAACCCGGAAACCCGGCAACCCCGCCGCCCACCGAAATCGGTCCGGAACCAGCAACTGGGAACACGGGAACCTGGAACCGGGAGCCCGGGAACCCGGCCGCCAATTACCGAAATCGGCCCGGCACTTTCGGCAAATCTTTCAATCTGCGCTAGGACCCCTTCAGTGCAAACACTGATATGGGAAAATGAGCTTGACGGAAAGCTCCAGCAGCAGACTAAGCGCAAATAGCGCAAGCACACGTGGCAACCGCCGCCAAGTCGCACCAACAGAGCTGGAAGAGAGGAGAGATAGAGCATCGTCTGCACTGAGGAGCCGACCGTGTCCCTGTGCGTGTCGGGCACCTGCCACGGAAGCAGGCATCGTTTCTCCTTCTCGTCCTCGTCCTCGTCCTGCTCCTGCTTGCTCCTGCCTGCTGCCAAGAACGCAGCAAGGATGCATGGCACGGGTTCTCCTGAGAACAGGAGGTGGGATCTCGAGTACAGTCGGGCTGCTGAAATAAGGAACGCTAAATAAGGAACGAAGCCCCTCTGAGGCTTCAAAAAAGCCTGGGTGCACGAGAAGGGCTGGAGGAACAACCACGGAAGGGCGTAAGGAACGTCGAGCCCCTTCCGAATCCAAACTGTTCCCTGTTTCAGCGTCTTGGCTGTAGGGGGGCCATGGGAGGGGTTCAGAGCGAGGCCTCTCTGTGGCCTGAGCCGTCCCCTTCCGGCAAATTTCCAGACGAGCCCGGCAGCGCCCACGGGTGGTACTCGAGCTGGTTGGCCGCGATCGGAGCACCACCCAGCGCCAGGATCTCGCCCATCTGCCTCGGCCCAGAGTAAATCACGCCGCAGCCACCGCGAACGACGGAGACGACGACGATGACGACGATGACGACGACCACGGCGACATCAACGACCACGGCGACGACGTCGACCACGATCAGGAGGACGACGGCGACAACGGCGACAGCGGCGACGACCACGTCGACGAACATCACGACGATGATGAGGCGCCGTCGCCGCAGGCGTCACGCGTCGCCGCCGTGCGTCGCTCTGCCTCGGCCCGAAGTTGCTCACGCCGAGGTGGCGCACCTGGCGGCGGGCGCGCGCCGCACAGCGGCCGCGGCGGCCGAGGGGTGCGACGATACCGGCGCGCGGGCGGGGGGAGGACAGCCTGGTACAGGAGGGGCGTTGACAAGCCCAGGGCTCATCTCTACACCTACGTACGACTGTCAGGGCCCGAGGCGATGGCGGTCGTACGTACGGGTGGGCCCTCAGACTCCGAGGGAACCCTCCAGATCGACACCGAGATGCGAGGATGGCAAGCGTCAGGAGTTCTATGAGCTCCAGGCTGGCAGGGCGTGGCCAGCAGGGGGAGGCTGAAGGGGCCCTGGGACACACAAATAAATATACACAAATAAAAAGATTCCCCATATTTTCCCATATTTTCAGTGTTTTTGTCTTCCCCACCACTTCCCATATTTTCCCATATTTTCTGGGGAATCGAGGATTATTTGTGTCTGTGTGTTTTTTCCCCTCCTGAGAGGCGCAGGCCTCCAGGCTCTGCGAACCAGGTCGCGCTGGCCGGCCGATGCTCTTCAATCTCGGCCACCGGGAGGGACTGCCGGGCCCTATAGGACGATCAAACATCCCCGGGGCCTGCGTCGTGGAAAGGCACGGCGCCGGAGGCCTGTGGGGGGGCGAAGAGCGCAGCCAAGAGAAGACCGGGAGGGGCGGCGGAAGGCGAAGAAGCGGGAAACAACGAGGGAGCAGGCAAGGCTGGATATCCCAGGCCCAGTGGCCAAAGATTGCCTGCGGTACCCACCAAGGAGTGTGCGGAACACTGAACAGGAAGACGTTCACAAGACCCTGCACCGCTGGACCAGAGTTCAAAACACATACTTGCGAAATTGCGCCCCATCGCACAATAACATATTAGTACGATGTGTCCTCCTTGGAGGCGTGCTTCCGACCTGAACACAGAGTTTCCCGAGCAGTATGGCCAGAAAGCGCCCGCCACAAAGCAGATGCTATATGATTTCTCGGCGCGCGCGTCGCCCCTGGGGGGGGCGACGCACACATGGCATTAGGATGTTTGGGTGACGCCGACCCCAACTTGCTTGAAGCATGCTGGCGCCGAAAGAAAATCAACGTACATCAAACCAGAGGGCTCTGACTCCATCGTGCCCGTCGGTCGGAAGAAGTGGGCAGAACCATGACGTAGGAAGGCGTTGAAGACAGATGGAGGTTCCCCCCGCCTCCTGAAGAGGAAGGCAAAGGCGAAGCCACTCGATCCTTGAAGTAGGGAGGCGCCTAAAGCAGACTGGGAGCGGGGCATCAAAGAACCCCCACTTCCAACGACCGGCGTGCAAGTCTGTGCCATCAGAGCCGCGGCGACGAGGGCGCCGAGGGCCACGCGAGCGGTCCAGAAAAGAGCCAGGGGTGCTGCCCTTTGTCGTCATCTCCGCCCCTCCCCTTCTCCAAAAGACGCACCGCTGTCCGTCATTCCGCCTCCCCCGCCTGAGTGCCCGTCCTTGCCCTGCGCCTCCTGCGGTTCTCCTCCTCCTCCTCCTCCTCCTCCTCCTCCTCCTCCTTCTCATCCGCATCCCGATCCCCCAGCTCCTCCTCCTCCTCCTCCTCCTCCTCATCCACCTCCTCCTCCTCCTCCGCCTCATCCACCTCCTCCTTCTCCTCCTCCGTCCACATCCACCTCCGCCTCCGCCTCCGCTGCCGCCTGCTCCTCCTTTTCCTCCTCCTCCTCCTCCTCCTTCTCCTCCTCTTCCTCCTCCTCCTCTTCCTCCGCCTCCTTTTCATCCTCCTTCTCCCGCGCGCTGAGGTGTTGGTGGTGCGCGGCTGATTGTATGCAGAGTGTTTCTGTGTAGCACGCGTGCGCTCGCATGCGTGTCCCTCGTAACCACACGTGGTGCGCTCACGACTCCTCGGCACCACTCCTCGCCTCGGCTCCTCTGCTCCTCATCCTGCTGCCCCCCCCCCTCGAGGAACAAACAGACTGCATACTCATAGACTGTCAACGGTCCGCACCGATTTCTTGGATCTGCGCTGGACCCCCCTCCCTGGCGCAGATCCAAGAAATCCGCTCGAAGCTCCAACATGTTATGACTATGCAGTGTTATTCGACTCTCCCTTCCCCTCCCCCTCCACCTCCCCCCCCACGCCAGCCCCCCCCATCAAGGACACAACTGTACGATATCAAACTCCTCCTGTTCCTGGGTGCACCTAGCCCGGTTGAGCGTGCGTCAGTCGAGGACTCGCCCTCTCGACACCCTGAGCCAAGGACGCCTACGGAAGGAGACACATCGCCCCCCCCCCCCCGCCCCGCCAAGGAAGGGCAACGCCCCCCCCTCGAGAGGGGGCCGCCCGCCCCGACCCCCCCCGGCCACTCGAGGGCCGGACCTCGCTCTCGCCTCGAGGGCCCCCCGCTCCCCCCCTCGAGCATCGAGCAGGGCCCCCCCCCTCGAGGGAGCGCTCCCCTCGAGGGGGGCGCCCCCAGTGGACCAGAAAACAAACGACACCACTCCACCTGCGGCCCCACGGGCCTTAGCAGAGACCATGAACTCTGGCTTGGACTTTTGCGTGGAATACGCTACGGCGCCCGATGGGCCGTAGCGTAACATGGGAGGGCCGTAGGTGGGGTGGTGTCGTTTGTTGTCTGGTCGACCCAGCCCCCCCGAGGGAGCCCTCCCCACCAGCGCGAGCCGCGGCGGCGGAGCCTTGCCCACCGAGCGCGCGCGCTGCAGCGCCAACCACGTCTCCTGCGGGCACCGCGCGGCGCTCGCGCGGCCCTCCGCGCGCGCGCGAGCCGCCCGCGGCGGAGGAGGCAAGGACGACGGCGCTGGGGCCGACGGCGCCGAGGCGAGAAGCAGAGCGGGCGAGAGCACGGGAGCGAGGACGACAAGGACAAGGACAAGGAGGACGAGGACGAGGACGAGGACGAGGACGACGACGAGGAGGACGACGACGACGACGAGGACGACGACGACGGCGCTCCTGCCGGCAGGCGCGCGGCGACCCGCAGGGCAGGCTGCGGTCCACGCCGGCCTGCGCGGCCGGGCGCACGCGCCGGCTCCTCCGCCCCTCCGCGCCGCCGCCGCTCCGGGCGAGCCCCCCGCCCGCCCTCCGTCTCTGCCTCTTTCCCTCCCCCCCTCCTGGTCATGCTCGTCCTTCCTCCTTCCCTTCCTCCCTCCTGGTCCTCCTCCCCTCCTTCCCTCCCTCCCTCCTTCCCTCCTCCCTCCGTCTCGTCCTCCTTCCCTCCTTCCCTCCTGGTCGTGACGTTCGTCCTCCTCTCCCTCCTTCCTCTAAGCCCCCCCCGCCCCGTCGCGCAACCGTCCAGGAAATCGCATATCGGCCCATGAGCGGTGGAGAGACCTCAATCAGAATCACGCGTGCCGACACTGCCGTCACTGCAACTGTTGTCCTGCAAGGAAGAGCTAAGCTACCTCCCCCGGTCCCCCAAAACCATTTCTTTCCCATCGCCTGCCACCTCGCTCTTTCCCTTCTTTATCGCGGATCGGATTGGAATGTGCGTCGGATCGGGCCGCGTCGGAAAGATGTCGGAACCGGATCGGGCCGCCTCGGGCCGTCGGAGCAAATCGGATCGGGTCTGGCCAACCTCGATACCAAATAGGATCGACCGGATGCGGGATACCCCGAGCAGGATCACGCGCCGAGGCACAGCGGACGCGCCCTCCCCAATGCCAGCCGCTGGCCCCCGCGCCGAACACGCGCTCTCCGACCAGGTCCTCACCTAGCTGGCCCAGGGATTCGGGCCCGCCGAAGAGCCCAGGACCCACGACGTCATGACTCTTCTCATGACGTCGACCTCCTCCTCCTGCTCCCCCTTTCCTCCTCCTCCTCCTCTTCCGCCTCCTCCTCCTCGTCTTCCTCCTCCTCCTCCTCCTTCTCCTCCTCCTCCTCCTCCTTGTAACCTCCCGTCGTGTTTTTTTCACGGCGCGGCGAGCATGATTGGGTCCAGGAGGAGGGGGGGACCAGCGCATCGTGGCCCGGGACGCTGCCCCCAGCCGCCAAAGGGGGGGGGGGGGCGCTCGGAGGTTGCAGGAGGCGAGCATAGCCGCCTCACCGGCGGGGCGCTGCCCGGTGGAAGGGGGCGACTGGGGGTCGATGCATCCCCCAGTCGCCCCTTTTGGCTTCCCCAGGGGGGGGGCGAAAGGTCGGTCCCACGGCCCCAGCGGCGCTGGCCAAGTTCGGCACCCTGAGGTGGGCTTCACGAGGCGAACCTCACAGGTCTGTGCGTGCATTGCACGCACAGACCTCAGAGGTGCGCCCCCTTGAGTCTAGCGCCCCGTGTTGACGGCGCGCAGAAGGGGGCAGAAGAGAGGGGGGCAGGCTTCTTCGAAGGAGGCTGCTTCTCAGAAGGCGCCGGCCCTAGATTTACAATTAAGGCCCGCGCCTTCTAAGAAGCAGGGGCTGCTTCTACGAAGCCCTCCCCCCTGCCCCTACCCCCTCTGCGCCTGGATGAAGCCTATCGCCCCCTAACTTTGCCCCTGATCCCCCCATCCCCAGACCCCTTCGGTTCATGAGAAAATCATGACGGGAAGTGTTTTGTTTTCTTTCCCTCGGCCTCTGTGAACCCTTACCGGGCCTCGGGACCCTATACTCCGTCTATCTTTCGGTTTCGCGCACTCGCCATCGCTCGGACGCCTATACCACGTACATTTTTCGGTTTCGCGCGTTTTTTTCCGCGATGATCCAAGATGCTCCTCGATGGTCCTCGCCGAGAACAGTGCACACGTCCGAGCGACGCCGAGAAAGACGACTCAGCATGAGGAGCCGGTCCCAGGGAATGGGTCGAGACCTCCGGGGGTCGACGCTACGGAAAAATCATGGCGTCGGAGTTCTCCCCCCCCCCGTCCCTCCCTCCCCAGACCCTCGGCGTCGCGATTTTGCTTGCAACGTGGGCCCCCAGAGGTCTGGACTCTTCCCCTGGCAACAATGTTTCATCCCGAGCCCTTGAGCTCGGTGAGGGCCCCCCCAAGGCTGAAAATTGCCAAACACCTCCTCTGTCGTGTTTTGTCACGACGCGACGGGGTCGGGGTCCCTTCCCTCGCCTCCCCGCCAGCCTTGTGAAGGAGGACCAGGTCGATGTACTCTACGCCCAGCTCCTTCAGCGTGCTCTCGACCTGAACAAGGGGAGAAAAAGCGGACCTCACGCGGGATGGCATAGCGACCTTACGCTGCGGTTTACGCGGGCCGCCAGCGCGGCACGCTGCACTGGAAACGAAGGCGCTCATGCGCGACCTTACGCGGGCAGCTTACAGTCGGACCTGGGCCAGAAGAACATCCTTGAAGAACATGAGACCCTCCGCCAGCCAACACCCCAAACCCTAGGATCATTCGAAGAACATGAGGGCACCCTCCCCGAATGGACCTCGATCTTACACCTCGGCCCGACTGTACGCGCCAGTGTCGGCGAAGAAAACACAGTTATTTTTGCGGTCGCTCACATGGCCGGTGCTATAGGCGGGGCGCGCGGCCTTGCCGCGCGGGCGGCGGAAAAATCGCGCGGGGCCCCGGCGGCCCCCGCAGATGTGGGCCCGCCTCTGGGGGGAGTCCCCGAGAGAAGGGTCGGCCTGGGACGTTCCCCCGTCCCCTCTGAACCTCCTCCTCCTCCTCCTCCTCCTCCCTCCTCCTGCCCTTCCCCTCTGCTTATCGGGCCTTTCTTCTGAAATTCGTCCACAGTATCGGATTCACCATCATCATCGTCTCCGTCGTCACCACCATCCTCACCATCACCAACACCACCACCACCACCACCACCACCACCACGTTAACATCAAAACCATCATCACGATCACAACAATCAGTGTATCAACATCGACGCCATCCTAATGCGTAATTACCATCTGCAATACCACATTCATCAACATCATCATCGCTCCCATTACCATCGTCGTCCATCCTCACACTCATCCACATCGAATTTCTGATCGCCCTTCCTCCTCCCTCCTCCACATCGTCATCAGAGTGATCCTGATACCTGCAGTCACAACCGTAACCGTCAACAGCAGCACCACCATCGTCGGTATCATGCTCAATACCCTTTTCCTCCTCCTCGATCATGGCGTGCCCCTGTTCATTCGCTTCCCACGTTCATGATCATGCTCGCGTGTGTGCTCGTCATGTTCCTCCTCCCCATCCTCCCCCATTTTACTCACATGGCCAATATGTTTCCTTTTCATGCCCACCGCCCAGTCGAACCTCTTTTACCCGACCCACTCGTTTCTCCTCTGCTTTCGTCTCCTCCATCTCGTCCTCCTGCTTCTCCTCCGCTGCATTTTCTTCCTATTCCTCCTCGTTGTTCTGGCTCAAACAAGTTCCCTCTCGAGCGTGGCACAGACTCAGTGCCACGGTGGGAATTCAGGACGACAAACTTGGAAGTTCGAGTGCCGCCAGGAGCTGGGAAGGGGAACGCAGCGCTGTTGACTGGCACGGTCGCGAAAGCTGGCACGGTGGCACGGGCAACGTGACGAAGCAGGCGACTCCAGATGACGCGGTGCTACAGCTGATGAGGAACGGGGGCCAAGCAGGCGGCCTCTCCTGGCGAGGCTGGAGGCCCCCGCAGTGGAGGACCAAGTCCGCAACCGTCGCGGCAAGAACATGAGCGCCGTAAAGAAGGTCAAGTCGGAGACGGTCTGAGCTGCGGGCCTCGTTCCTCCTCTACTGATTTGTCCCTCCACCTCCTCCTCCGCCCCCGCCTCTCCCCAGGACCTCTGGCCTTCGAAGCGGCGAAGGGCAGGCCATCAGAAGCCAGCAGCTCAAGGAACCGGACAAAACGTACATGATCTGGCGGAGGGCCTTCCATCAGAAGCAACAGAACCTCACGGACCGAATACTAGACGCCGCGCGCTGACATCACGCGCAGCTTCAGGCCCCTTCGTTTGCGAGCGTGGGGCCAACACGCTGCCCCACGCTTCACAACCTACACGGCGAAAGCGTCCGGCGCTGAGTCTGACATCGACGTTGTGACCGAATCAACAACTTCCGCAACAACAATATCATCATGTCCTCCATTATCGCCTGATCGGGCTCCTCCTCCTCGTCCCCGTCCATTTTCCTCGCAGTCGCGGCCGTCCTGCTTATCCTTCCCCTGCTCCCCAACCGTCGCCTTTTGTGAGCGATCTGGCGATCGACGCCTGTTTGCTCACCGGCTAACCGCAAGCCAAAGGCGTACAAGGTGCACCTGGGTGTTGGGAAGAAACGGCGGCGGAGTGCAGGCAACATGACACGCAACACATTTGGCTGTCACCACGGCCATCGTTTCGCTCGCATTCACACAGTTTCTAATTCTTTGCCCCCAAAAACTGGGTGAAAACTCGCGCGGGCACTGCAACACGTACGCGCAGATAAGCTGTGGAGTGTCGTCCGGCAGGTGATACAAAACAAAGCATCAAGATATGGAAGCGCGAACGGCGAGCAAACACATGATCACCAAATGCAGAAAGTTCACTGGTCATCGTCGGACCATACAAGTTGCGCGGGATGTGCAACATTCCTGAAACCAATCCGCTAAACGGACCACTCGTATCCATCGGCTTAGTCAAAACATCGGCCAACATATACGCTGTGGGGACCCAGCACATCCATAATACTCCTACTCCCGCGCAAGCCCACTGCTGCTTCCAACCGCATCGCCTCTCGCAGCCAGGCCAGATCCATGATCAGTCGATTATCATGCGGTAGTTTACCTGAGTCCCGGCGCAAGGTGTCGTAAAGGGACTCGCAGTCGCTCGCGCAAGTGATCGGCAGCATGCGCATGTTCGCCAACACATCATTTCAACGATCACAGCGCGCGCGGATTCAGCATAATCGAAACCCTGCGTGCAGCTCTGCGCCTCGGCGGCGAAGGTGCTCCTCGCCAATCGCGGCAGCGCGCGACTCCTCCAGTCCACGAGGATCGCCTCACCTGGGCGACCTTCTGCCACTGCGCGCTCGCACAAGTAGACCGAGTACCCTGCCTGCAAGTGGACCTTCCCCCCTTGGGCGACCTGCCGCCGGGCCTCGCCTCCCGGGAGCGCGTTCCCCGAAGCATCGTCGCGGGCACGTGGAACCTCCCGCTCACCGAACTCTGCAGGGCCACAATAGCGGCGTTGAGATCTAGCAGTTCCTGGATGCAAGAGTCGTTCTGATTGCGCTGTGCCATCAACGACTCCTTACTGCGCTCCGGTTGTCCCCGATCTCACGGGCGTTGCACTCCAGGCTCGGGTCGCGCTTCCGAGTCCTGTCCATCTCGACTGGCTCGAGCCCACCCTCGATGAAGGTCGATTGGTCGAGCAAGAGGCCCCCCCCCGGGTCCGCCTGCAGCAGCTTCCAAAAGAACATCACTGGGACATGCCACCACTCGCCGAAATTGAAGAGACATATTACTCCTCGGCGCAGGGCCTGGGACTTCGCGGCCACGAGGAGGCCGTCCGCACGCGCAGACCCGGGTACACATCCCAACATCCTCGTTGAAGCCGCGGAACACGCTCGGGTCGAGCCGGGACTGCATCATGACGATGGGAATGCCGCTCTCGTCCTTCAGCTCTGCCTCGACCAGCCCTCGGCGTAGTCGTCGCCACCGCAGCCTCGGCGCGCCCACGAGCCCGAAGATGCCCTTCTTGACCTTCAGGACGCAGCGAGGGTCCATGCTGGGGAGGCCCTCCTTTGGCTACGACATGTAGAGCTCCTCGGCGCGTCCGAGTTCCTCGCCCTGCGTGGAGGCACACGCGATATCTCCAATCACGTCGTCGAAATCATACGCCGCCGCCACTGCCGGGAAGACGCGACACTGTCGGCGCGTCGGTCCGAAGGCCCATCGGGTCGGAAACGTCGTGGCCATCGCAGCACAGTCGCGCCTTCTGCTTCGGCGGCTCCCCCATGACTCCAGCATTATTGCTCCAGTCGGTGAACCGTGACGTCATTTTGCGGCTGTGATGGGTCCGCTCACGCACCTTCTGGCTCTCCTCGATCGAGAGGGGTTCGGCGGCGTAGTAGCTCTCCCACTGCTTCCACTGCAAGTCTGCCGTTCCCTGTAGGTTGCGGTCGCTGGCTGGGATCGCGTTCCACGGCATCTCCTTCGAAGCTGAAGTTGGCAAAAAAAAAAAAAAAAAAAAAAAAAGCTGGCCGTTCAGGGTGGTCACCGGGATGCAGAAACGGTCCGACGGGAAACGGGCGGAACACCATGCCCTGACGAGCTTGCAGAGCCGCCCGTCGCTTCACGAACTCCTCTCGGTTGTAGGGGGGCCCTTGCCCTGGCAGTGGGGCTTGAGCTGGCCCCGACGCTCGCGCCGATGTCGGAGGCTCCGCTTGGGCCGAAAATGATGGCCCCGACGGCGCAGCTGCCTCCTGCCGCTTGCGAGGCGGCTCCTCCTCTGGGTGCTCAGCCTCCGCAGCTGGGCGTTTCTTCTTGGCGTCTAAAAGTTGAGGCGTATCGCCCCCCTCGACGCGGCGCATGTCCTCCGCCATCTCGTCAGCTCGCTCCTGGGGGATGTCCCCAAGGTCCCGGCCCCCCCTCCGCCGCAGAGTTCGGGCTTGTTCATCTGCCACACGCGGCCCACGCCATCGCCTTCAAACTCGGGCCGATCCCCTTTCTCGACCCTGCGGATCAGCTCGTTCAGCTCCTCGACAGTAGGATCATCGCCCTGTCCAGGTCACCAGATCTCCTCATCCACAGCGGGTCGGAGCTGCCCGTGGGGAACTTGAGCGGCCCCAGTCCCATGCGCGAGCCAGATGTTCGAGGCGACCGCTGGGCCGACGACGACGACGACCGCTGGGACTCGCCACTCGCGGAGCTTCGCATTCCTGAGCAGCCGCCCGCAGAACGCCAAGTCGCCGCTCTGGTAGTTGACGCGGGCGACCTTCGGCTTCCGAAGGAGCGCCCGACGGAGCGCCTGATCATTCACCAGCTCCACGAAGGCCGCCCGCGCAGCCATTCCCCTGGCGAGCTCGGTGGAGACGAGATGCATGCTGTGCTCGACTCCCTGGCCAGGCCCGTCGATCAGGTCTGCCGACGTCGCGCGCGAGCAGCCGCGCGCCCACTCGACGGCGAAAAGCCGCAGACCCTCCACATGTCGTTCTTGGCCTGGCAGATCTCCCAGACGGCGGCCCCCAGGCCGCTGCGGTCTTGGATCGACTTGCGTTCGATCACTGTGGGCCATGAGCTTGAGCCACCCTTCGCATCGCACTGCGCGACCCGTCTGCCACTGCGACTGCCCAGCCACGGCCTTGGCGCGGATGCCCATTATGTCCACGGCCACCTGGAACCCAGCGTAGAACATGCCGTCAGGGTCTAGCCTCGCCACGCTCGGCGGCCCCGCAGGCCACAGCTCCCGAACGACCTGTAGCAAGGGTAGCTGGCTTTCGGCCCAGGAAGTAGCGGGCGACGCAGTACGTCTCGGGGGCCTCGACGATCGACGGGAACAGGCAGGGCTTCCCATGCGCGCTCCGCAAATAGAGGCCATCAACGCCCAGCTCGTCATTGAAGCCGCCGGCTGGCGACGCGCGCGAGACTCGGCGCGAGCTAGACGCAGGCTTTGTCCGATTGCACGCGGGGCAGCGCAAGTGCCGGGCCCCGCGGGCCAGAGCATCGCCCGCGCCGTTGAGCCTCAGGTTCCGGGCCAGGTCGTCGTTCGAGGGGTGTCGGAGGTTCTAATGCAGGCGTCGAAGCTGGGATCGAACTTCGAGGGGTAATAATCCAGCCCTTTGCCCCGAAGGTGATCGCACGGGCTCTCGTGGGCTCCTCCTCGGGGGCCTCGTCGCCGCCGTCGCCCACGTCCGCCGCCGTGGCCTGGCGAGCCCGGTTCAGCACCTCCTCGGAGGCGTCGACGACGCGTCCGTTAAAGGCCTCTGCGTTGACCTGGCTCCAGGAAGTCCGCTTGCTGCCAAAGCACTTCAGCTCCACGTGCTCGTTATCCTCTGGGCACCGTGCCTCTCGGAGGCCTCTTGGGTCGCGGAGATCCTCGCGGGCTTCTTGGCAGCCTTCCCGGCGCGAGGAAACGTCGGGCCGTGGGCGCGCATGTCGGTCTGGAACTCAGCCGCGCCCGGTAGCTGCCTGGGCCTCCTCCACGGCCCCTCGCCCCAAGACCGCCCCAGCCAAGGGAGCTCGAGCACCGCCTCGCGGCCGCCCTCGCACTGCAGCGCGAAGATCGCTTCCACGAGCTTCAAGGTCGGCAACTCCTTGAGCCTCGCCCGCCGCAGGCGCAGCTCGCCCCCATTGGAGAAGAGGTTCTGCATAAGATTCCAGATCCTGCAGGGCGAATCCAGCACCGCGCAGTCCGGCCCCTCGCGCTCGACGAACTCCCGGGTGGCTAGCTCCGCGAAGTCATCGCCGCACTCGATGTCCCAAGGCTGACCTACTCGGAATCCTCGGCGACGCGCTGCCCGAGATGCGCCGGCCGTGCCACCCCAGACCTCCGCGAAATCAATCTAGGCGGCGCCTTCTTCGTCGCCGTCGAGGCGCGCCTCCTTGGGCACGGGCGCCGGCTCGGCCACCTTGGAGATGCCACTCGCGAGGTGGAGGCCAACCGACTCGACGACGGTCACCGCGAGGCACATGGCGGGCAGCGCCAACGAAACCAAGGCCCCGCGCCGCCCGCTGAGCACGCGCATCTTCGCCCCGCGGCGTCTCTTGACCAACTGGACCTGAAGTCGAAGTGGTGCATCAACTCCCTGTCCTCGTCGCTCTCGCTCGCCGTCGGCTGGCTCGCCTCGCTCGTCTCGGTCTCGCTGCCCCCGGTGATATCCTCCAGGTCGAGGCCCCAATCCGCCTCCGACGGCGGCGCCGCCGTCGTCGCTGCAGTCCGACTCGTCGTCTCCCGAGCCCAGCCCGAGCGATCGCCTTTCTCGTCCAGGCTCATTGGAGACGACGTACTCGGGGGACCTCGCTTCTTGACCTGGGCCCGGAGCTCTCTCTTCATGGGCGGCGTTTTCGGCGCGGCCTTGCTTGGCAGCCCGCTGCGCGGCCCTGCCGAACCTGGCGCCGAGCGCTGCGAGGACCTCGCGGAGACGCGCTCGTCGGCGTCGGCCCTTCGGCTGCTGCCCAAACCTTGATCCTGAGCTTCAGCGCGTCGACCGCCCTCTCGATAGCGACGCCCGCAACCTGGCAGAAGGCGACGGCCTCGTGCTGCCTGAGCTTGCTGAACCCCGACGCCAGGTCCGACCGCGGCGCGCCCACCCTGCGCTCGGCGCCCTCGGGTGGTCGCAAAGCCCGCGGGCTCTCTCGTGCAGGGCTTTGCGCGCCGCGTGGCCCGAGGCCTCCGCCCCGGAGGTCGGCGGCCCCCCGCGCAGCTCCGCCTTCGCCATCTGAGTGGCCCCCGTTCCGCTTCGGTCGCACACGGGCCGCGCGCGGGGGTCGTGAGAGCCCAGGCCGCATTCATCATAAGGTGAGCGAAGAACCGCCATGCTCGGCGAAGGTCTGGCCGCCTCTGAACCGCGCCCTTCCGGGCGGGCACGCGCCCCGAGGGTTCAGCGGGCGTGGGACGTGAGAACGCACTTGCGCCGCTAGCTTGCTCTGATCCAACTGCTATGGCAGTCCACTGACACGCTTGACCGTGTCTGAGCTTCGTTTGGCTTGCTCGCCCCCCGTTTTGGCATGCTCGGCCTCTGATCTGGCGCGCTCGATCTCCGTCATGATAAGCGCGATCTCCGTTTCGATTAGCTCGCTGGCGCTGTGGCTCAGCTGCGTCGCAATGCTGGCGCGGCTCCAGAGCTTCGAACTGCTGCTAAATATCGTGTTTCTGTAGCTTTTTTTTCCGAGACCTGGAGCGTTTGCCCCTCGTCATGGACCTGGCCCAGCACCCCGGAGTTGCACGCCTGATGATAAGACGGATGAGGTCCTTGGATATGATATTGCCAAGACTCGCCTCACACTGCCCTTGGCGGTGCCAGCAAACCTTCTGCTGGAAAACTGAAGGCTCTTGATCTCGGGTCGTCGCGGACGCAGAGCTCCTTCGCCGCCGGCCTCGAGAAGAGCAGCGGGCGGCAAGTCTCCAGGCGCGACGCTGACGCGCAAGGTGCCTGAAACGCGATGCGACATGCAAATCGGAATGAGCACCGCAGAAGTACTCCAGGCTGCGTCGCCAGCTCCGAACCTAAACCGCCCCTTCTCGGCGACCTGCTGGCACCTCAAGCCTCGGGCGCAGCGTCTCAACATCGCCTCGCACAATTTGAGCACGCAGTGGCCCACGACGCATCTCGCGAATCCTCTGTCGACCATGGCGAACCCGAGGCGCTTTCGCATCTCCTCGGAAGACGCGAAGACGAATGCGGGAAAAGAAAAAGCAACGAACGAGTAGAAGCCCGCGGTGGTGTTCGTCTTCTCCCTAGCAATAGGCGCGGGCACGCTCATGGCCATCGTCGAGCTGGTCGAACTCGCTGCCGTGAGAGCTCTGCGCGGCTCAGCCTCCGCGCGCGCGCTGTCATGAATCGCCAGTAGCGGCCTGCGAGGTGGATGCCCCGCTCATGCATGGGGGCACCCAGGGACTCCCTTCCAGCGTCCTTGCTGGTCACATGCTTTGCGGATCGATGTCTTCTTCAACTCGCCCATATGCTTCTGCCGCTTCGGGTCTTGAAATCTTTTATCTTGAACTTCGCGCTCGCGAACTTCGACCGGGACTTGTCCCGACGCTGAAACCGATCGCGGCCATCGTC